AGATGCTTTTCAAATGACAGTTGAGCGCTAATATGAAGTGCACTGGCAAATAGCAATCAACCAACTATCTATCAAAATGTGGGAGTCCAGACATAAAGAGCCAGAAAAACAATTCATTGCGGCTCCACTTAAATGGTGTTGGTAAACATCCTCCTTAAAGCTCCCCTTTCAGCCACTTGTTGAGGAGCAAAAAGCAGGCATGCTCTCCATGTATGCGTGAAAAATTATTATCTTCATCGCTGTTATTAATCAAGACAGTTGGCATTTAATCCAGCACTTAATCCTTCCCCATCATGTGTTAATATTTTACCTATGCATAGTCCTTTTGTATACAAACCAGCTCTATGGCTTATAGATGAAGAAGCTGAAATTGCCAGAAGTTCAGACATTTTACCAAGGTCATAGTGTGTATCTGTTTCTAATCTTTGCCAACATACTAGAGCTTTATTTTTATTTTTATCTTTTTACTACTGTGTGTGCATGTGTACCTGTATGCAAATTTATGTATGTGAGTGCAGGTGCCCAGAGGCAAAAAGAAGGCATTGAATTCCCCGAGGCTGGAGTTATGGTCAATTTTGAGTTCCCCAGTGTGGGTGCTGAGAGTCAAACTCAGGTTCTCTACTAGAGCAGTACATGCTCTTAATCATACTCCATCCCTACAAGATATTTTTATAACAGTGACACTTAGCCAGGAGTGGGAAGCATCATTCTTAGCCAGGAGTGGGAAGTACCATTCCTAGAGTGCATCTGGATATGTCCAGAGATGTTCTGGGTCAAGAGAAGAAAGATCTATTGTATTCACCTTGGTCCTTAGTAAGTTCAATATCAGATCAGCTCTAGGCCCTGGTAGACTCAGTGCTGGATATGGTGGTGCACACCAGTAATCTCACCACTTAAGGGACTAAGGCAGGGGTATCATAAGCTTAAGGTCAGCCTGGATCACATAGTGAATTCCCAGCCAGAACATGAGAAGGAGGAGGAGGAAAAAAAGGAGGAGGATGAAAAAGAAGAGGAGAAGAAAGAAAGAAAGGGGAGAGGAGGAGGAGGAAAGAAAAGGGGGGAGGGGTGGAAGAGGGATGTGGCTATGTTGATGTCAAGGAGTTGCTTTCTCTAAATATGACTGGTCCTAAAAGGAACCATTTGGGAATCACCAAAGGATCTATAGCAAAGACTGCCAGTTAAGGATGTGACACTCAGATAAGGGGGAGAAGGGACCAACTGATCATCAGGGCAGATGGCATAAACAAGGGCCCTTTCCCTGAGCTCACAAACTATATCACTCTGGACATTACCCTGTTCTGTCAAAGCTGTCCTTTGGCTCCTCCGTTAGGCTTTTGATTGTAATGTGCCATGCCTGGACACAGTAAATGACAAGGATTCCATGAATGAGGACTGTGAATTGAGAAAAATCATTCCACTGCCTAAGATACTGACATGAAGCCCCGAGAACATGGAGATTCCGGAAGGTACAGTGGAACTTGGAAGAGAAAGCCCAGGCTGGGGGGATCAAGCTCAATGGAAGAAGAAACCAACTCCATCTCCAGATCTGAGCTAAAGACACCCACAGAGCCTTGACACCTGGGGTTCAATGAGGAGCCAGAATGCCCAGGGACTTCTGAATGAGCTCTTACTGCAACAAAAAAACAACCCTGGAGCACTCAGAACCTCCCACAGGGTGACAATATGTCTCAGCACAATCCCAGCCAGGTACAGATACGGTCCATCTCAGGTAAAGTATGATCACACTCAAGCTGGCTTGCAGACTGAAAACCTGCAGTGGTCAAACTGACCTTGACAATCCTTACCGAAATGTCAGATGCGTTCCCTGTGCAGAGATGTGAAATAAGGAGGGCCCTGAAGAAAATCAGATCAGTAAGGGGAAGATGTAGGGGCCAAACACAAGGTAGGTGACCAGTACTAGACTGGGTCTCTACATTGCACTGACAAGGAAGGCAGTGAAAGGAAATGGTAACCGTGGCTTTAGGGGCTAAATCCGGTCCTCTGTAATCACAGTCTCAGGGCAGTAAGGAATACAAGGGGAATAAGTACACCAGTGAGGTATGATGAAAGAGTTGCGTTTCTATAGTCCAAACCCTCCGTGATGCAATTACGATGTTTGAAACTGCATGGGATACATTTGTTTCCACTAGCATTTCCTGTTCCCAGGTCCCTCACTTGACTATTTCCAGATAATCATTCCTCCAGGATTGCTACTCCTCATCAAGGAACTGTTTGGTGATGGGTCGCAAAGCTGACTCACAGGGACACAGCTACGGCCTATCATGAAAGGAAGAGGGGAAATGCTGGGTCTCTGAGATCATCTTGTTAAACCTTCTTCATTAGAGATGTGCTGGGTGTACTAACCGACTTGCCCAGGGACCTACAGCTCACTAGGTTAGATCCAGGAATTTCTGCCTCTATGTGTCAAGTAATAGTGGAATCAAGACAAGTGTGGTGGCTCCAGAACTCAGGAGGCGGAGGCACAATGAATACTGTGAGTTTAAAGCCAGCCTGAGCTACACAGTGAGGTCCTGCCTGAAAAAGAGAGATGGCAATAGAGATAGATGACAGATAAATGGAAAGACTTGTAGGTAACTGATAGATCAAAGAGTTAGATGACAGATAGACAATAGATAGATGATAGATACAGATGATACATAATTGATAGGTAAGAGATAGATGGTAGATTTAAATATATAACAAATAAACAAATGGATAGATGGAAATAAAGGGCAGACAGTTAAGATATCAAAATGGAGACAGGTGGTAGTGGAGCACACCTTTAATTCCAGCTCTTGAGAGGCAGAGACAGGTAGATCTCTGTGAATTTGAGGCTAGCCTAGTCTACAGAGGGAGTTCCAGAACAGGCAGGGCTACACAGAGAGATCCTGTCTCAAAAAACCAAAACCAAAACAAAAAAATATACATATGTTTGATATTTATAGACATATATCTATCTATGTATACATATATATATATAAATATATCAAAATGGGATAGACACAGATGAGTCTGTTCCCATCTACAGTGTATTATAAGAAAAAGATCAGTTCAAAGATGAAACACAATTTTGTTTTTCCTTTCCCTTTGAGGACCAGCTTCAACATTAATATCCTTGTATAGTATGCTAAGCGTAGTCACTGAAGTCAGTGGAATTGTACTATTCCAATTTATCGTTCCAATTTTAGTGTATGTGCTGCCGAAGCAAGCACAGTACTGTTCCAATTTAAAACACAGCATTCAGTCAAGCAAAATCTAAAAGGCCTGACCATCCTTGAGATACCAGGTGAACTCTTCTACAGAATCAACAGGAAAGGACACTGCAGCAACAAACAGGCCACCAACATTTTAACGGCACATGTAGCCCAGTGAATCGCATGGTTCAGCCCCATGGGTAAGCTCAGAGACTTAAATATTGGAAAAGGTATGCATACTTTAGACCTAGTTTCATGTGAAATTACAAGAAAGTCTGATGCAGGAGACAGCGTGACACTGGATCACTTGTAATAGCACAAGCATGCTAACAACCTTCATCTCCCCAAACGGGACCCTGGCTAACTGAATGCATAAGCACGGGCTGGAATAGCATGCAACTATTAAAGAGATTGAGCTTGAAGAGTTTGGAGTTGCGCTGTCCCCCAAAGGCGCGTGTATGAAGGCTTTATTCCCGATGCAGCAATGCTCCTATGTGGAGCCTTTGGGGGATGAAATCAGATTACAAGGATTCTGACTTCATGGATGGATAGGTTTATTGATTGATACAGAATCTGATGGCACTGTTAGGAGGTGCTGGAAATCAGAAAGGGGGGCCTAGTTAAAAAAATATAGATCATTAGGACATGAGGTGTTCTAGAGAAATACACTTAACCCCCAGTCAATCTTTCCCCCAACTCTCTTCTTCCCTCCCTACCCACCCCCCTCTTTTTCCCTGCCTCCTTCTGGCTCGTTTCCTTCCTCACCACACCCTCCTACCAAGATGGCTTTTCCCCTCACCTATCTAAAAGCAAAGGATTCAGTGCTCTAGGCTGAATACTGAGTCAAAACAAATACCCCTGCCCACCTTTGTTTCTGTCAGGAACTGTACCCCAGGGAGCAAAGGCTTAACCCAAAAGCTACATAGACACCCAAGGAAAGAGCCTTGGGGACAATCCAAGCACAGATCAGAGTGTGTGCACTTGTTCACTTGGAGTTGAAACCTTTTACTTGGAGGGGTGCGCAAGAAAGAAACAGTCAAGAATGTCTACCTCTCAAGGATCAGGAAGGACTTTTCCTTTTTACCCTCTCTTTCTGCAGGAAAACAAGACTCATCTTAGGTGTTAACATCTCTTTTCCTTGTGACTCTCTGAGGGTCCTTGAATTTGGGGGGTGGACCCTTCTTCTGTGTCTGAACATGCCCTTGCTACTGCTCAGTGGCATCTCCCATGCTGTTTGCCCAGCCTACTACCTAACTTCATGAAGTCAATTCGGATCCACAGGGAAGAAGGGTTTTAGCTGGAGGAGGGGGGATTAAAGGGTAATTGGGGGGATGAAAAAGACTAAAATGAACAACATACATTGTAAGACTGTGAAAATTAAAATAAACAAACCAACAAATAAATAAATGACTGTAGAAATGGCTAAACAATGCCATATGAGCACGTGTGCGCGCGCGCACACGCGCGCGCGCGCACACACACACACACACACACACACACACACTCCAACCACATGCACGGGCATTGGCTACGTTTTATTTCTCTTAATAAAAGATTTAAATAAGTAAACATTCTCAAATCTCTAAGTAATCAAGCACATGACACTGGCAGCGAACTATAAACAAACGCATGGGTAATAGCTGCCTCACTCATCCTTTCCTTCGCAGAGTAAACAATGTGAAGACGACTCTGAAAACAAGGAAGGCATTCCGAGAGCAATAAACTTTAGGCACTGTGCCTAAGCCAGCGTGCACTCAGCCTGGTGTATGAGTCTGACGATTAAGACACAAGCAGCCAAGCACTTACCCACTCCTCCAGAATGCGGGTCACGGCTTCGTTGGCTCTGCCCATGTTCCTACAGGCCAGAATCACGTGCGCACCGTGGAGGGCAAAGGACTTGGCGGTTTCGAACCCTGCAGTTTAAAAAAAAGTCCACATTAGAAACAATGCTTGTGTCAACACGTGAGTCATGTAGGGCTGTTAGTGGACCCCACTGACAGAACCGAGCGGTTCTCAACCAGAGGTGATTCTGTGCCACAGGGGACGGCAGACAGGTCAGGAGACATTTACAGCGGGTGAAAGTGTGCAATGGATGCTTGGCGGCTTCAGTGACATGATAGATAAAATGTCTTACTTCAGACACACAGCAGAGCCAGGCTGACCAAGCAGGTCAACAGCAAGCTGTGAGGAAGCTGCCCCCAAAGGATGCGGCTACATCAAGGACGAAGGCCCGGTCCATGAGAGTTCAGGCCACACCCACAGCCTCGCTACCACCCCTAGACACTCTGTTTAAAGAGGCCCCTGGGCTCTGCTCTGTGAGGAATGTTTCCAGAACTTACACATCCAGCAATTGTGGCAGTCTGTGTGTCCTAGGCCCTCCCCCTTACCTTCCTGGTGAGAACAGCTAGGAAACATTCAGAGAATTGTGTGTGTGTGTGTGTGTGAAGGCATACGCATATGTCAGAGCACATGCATGCACACACACGTCTTTCTTTGAAAATATCACAGAAATACGATGGTACAAGTGAGGCCAAGGTCTGGGAAGCTGAAGCAGCACACTGCAGGACTATGGGATGCTATTCATGTCCTATTCCAGTTCTCTCGAAATAGAGAGACAGAAGACAGGCTGAGCTAGTGGCACCCTGAGAGGCAGAGAAAGATAAAAATGTAAGCCTAGGGTTCAAAAGCAAGGGTCCTGGTACATACACCAAAAATACTGCCTCAAAGGAGAACCAGAGACTGGCCAACCTTTCAGGAAGCTCAGCCGTGGGCACTTAAGTTTCTGAATCGATTAAAGTGCCCTGGCCCTGTCTAACTGCAAAGCAAATGATAATGATAATTCTCTCTAGAGAAAGAAGCCACCATCCAGAGCCTCAATCATCTCTCCAACTATTTCTCTGGAGTGAAAGCCTAAAATAGTAAGACACACAGGAGAACAAGATGTTACAAAAGACCAGAAGAGAGAAAAACAGAAACAAATGCATACCATTCACGATGGTATCAGAAATAGTGGCTAAATGCATTGTGGTTAAAATTTCCAGGAAAAGGGAGCTAGAGAGAGCAGTTGAGAGCACTTGCTGCTCTCCCAAAGGACTAAGTTCGTTCCCAGCACCCACATCAGGAAGCTCAGAGACACTTGTAACTCCTGGCCTGGGGGATCGGATGTCCTATTGTAGCCTCTATGTGTGACTATACTCATGCGCACAAAGCCATACTCACACACACACAAACATAATGTAACATACATAAATAGGATCTGGAGAGCTGGCCTAGGGGTTAAGAGCACAGGACGTCCTTGCAGAGACCCAGGTTCAGTGTCCAGTACCCACAGAGCAACTCATAACCATCTCTAACTCCAGCTTCAGGGGACCCAATGCCTTCTGCTGATCTCCATGGACCCCAGGCACACACATGGTACACATACATATATTCAGGCAAGATAATCACACATAAAATAAAAATAAACAAATCTTTAAAAAATAAATAAGTGAAGTCTCTGTAAAATGCAATACTGGCTTCGAGGAGAGTCGTCCCCCCAACCATCAGTCATACACGGGAGCAGGTTCAGTTCCTGTAGAGCATTTTCCTAAATTTTAAATATTAACATAAAAGAATTATTAAAGATTTTATGAAATGTTCAATTACTTTAGGATGATAAATTTATAAGGTTAAGTTTTTAAAAGGCAAACTCCTAGGAAAATACTTCTGAAAGAAATGTCATGAGGATAAACTGGAAAATTCAAAGATCCTACATATTTAAAAAAAAAATTGAATCCACATGTCAAATCATCTTTAAAAAACATATCAAGGGGATATGTTTGGATTGAGAAAAGTTCTTGCTATGCATCCTGGAAGGCTTCAAACTCACTATGTAGCTAGGCTGGCCTCAAACTCCAGTTCTCTGAACTCTACCTCCTGAGTGCTGGGATTACAGACGTGTGCCACCCTAAAACAGCTGTATTATTTCTGGATGGAAAGGAGGTTGGCATGATGCTAGGCCAGGCAAGATTCTCCAAATTAGCAATAAACAACTGTCTTCTTGCCTTGCCATCTCTGTATCCCAGAAGCACTCACTAAGGAGTGGATGGTTCATGCAGCCTGCTAACAGGCCACAGTGCTGTAGAGCTTTGAAATAATCCATCTTCTTTTGTACAACAGCCCTAATGAACTTGTAACTTGCTTTTTAATAAAGACTGAATATGAAAATCCTGTCAAAACACTACTTACTACAGTTTGGAATGACTCTGCCCAGAAATCCGCAGTGAGGAAATATAACCTTTCCCATCACCTTTTATTTTCCCAAACAAACCTGTTAGAGCAGGCTATCTCACTTGACAAAATGACCCACAGCACAGGGCTCCGTATTCCTGAAAGCTGTGAGTGCATCTAATGTGATGGCAGCAACAGGCTGTGGGGGCAGGCATGTACCTTCTCTCCCTCACGTAAGTCTTGACTAGAGGTATGGCTAAGCCATCTGTCTCCGGGTCTTGTAAAGTTATTCTCTGAGCCTCACATCTCCCTTTATCTAAACAGAGCTGTACACAGGGCTAGTCAAGTTGTCAAAGCTACAGCGGACAAGTCCATTTTCTAATCCTTTACAACCGCCTTTGGAGCAAAAACAAAGCAGGAGATATTTCAAAGATGATGGTTTAACAGCAAGGACAATAACACGTTTATAGCAAACCACATCTCCAGAGTATGGAGTTTTATAAATTAAAAAAAAAAAAAAGTCTAATAACATTACCTACTGCTAAGTCCTGGATAAAACCCATGAGGACAGCATCCCTCACGCTCGTAACGCTGCGGCTGATGGCCAGCTTAATTAGCTAAATGTAGTAGTGCTAAGCCAATCCTGCATGGTGCCAAAGTTGGTGCAAAATAATGAAGGCAATGGTTTACTAAATTTAATAACCTGATTCATCTTATAAAAAATTAACTTCATGACAATGTTTAAATTGCAGCAGCTTAACCATGAGGAGATGGCCAGTGGGTGCAGGAGAATATTTAACACTAATAATATGAAGAGAATAAATAATGGAAGGCATTTTTAAACAATGGGCAGCAAGGTTTCCTCGAATCTGCAATAGGAGATCCGGTCAGAAGAGCTAAGTGCCCATGGGGATTTAATACTTTATGGTTTCAGGTTTTCAGTATTAAACACAAACAACTAACATAGAAAATAGACTCCCAAATTTAATTCTCTGAAATAGAAGTTAAAAAATGGCTAATTATAGAACAAATCAAGAACACAAACTGTTCTATTTGCCTGGATGTCTTCATCCGCCTTTTCCATCCTCTTGTTCCTCCTCTCCCACCCCACCCCACTTACTGTCCCTTCCTTCCTCTTTTTCTCCCTCTCACTTTAGTCCTTTTCTTCCTAACTGAATTAGCGTCACGGTCAAACATTTCTAAAGGAGCTTATGATAGAGCTACTGGGGCTCTAACCACATCTGATGACAGCCAATTGAATGAAGAGGCACCCACCAAACTGAGGATTAGCATCTTAGGTCAGCCACGGCAAACTACCACCCATGCCCGAATTTCCTAGGCGGTCACTACGGAACCAGATGCCCGAATCTGGTTCTGTTCAGATCATCCAGATCTGTTGTTGTCGTTAACCCAAAGTTATTGTGACACCCCAAGGCTGGTCTCTAACTCATGATCCTCCTGCCTCCGCCTCCTAAGAGCTAGAAATACAGGCATGCACACTATGCCTAACCACCTGTGATTGCTAATACCGTCAACTTGACAGGATCAACAGTCACCTAGGAGACATGGGCATGTCAGTGAGAAAAATGTCTAGATGATGTGACTGACGTGTGATGACCCAGCCTAAATATGAGCGGTATCTGCGTGGGCCAGGACCCTGGAGAGAAAGAAAGGGAAGAAGTAAGCTGAGCGTGAGAGCACCCATCTCTCCCTGCTTCCTGCCTATGCACACATACCCTACCACTCACACCCTTGTTGCATGACCATGAGCCAGTGAAAACTCTTCATCCCCTAAGGTGCTCCCTGTCGGGTAGATATATGGCCAGAACCACAAGGAAATTAATGTGCCCTCACTTTAAGAATATTTCCTGTTGATCTGTTTGAGATTTTATTTAAGTCATTCCAAGGCCTACTGTGCCAAGCAAGAGTTCAGTACTCCGGCTATGCCTAGATAAAGCCAGCAGCGGTAGTCAGCTCTGCTCAGGCAGGTACACACAGACCGACAAAACAGGGCATCACAGTGTGTGATTACACGGCAGCACGAACCCTGGGCCAAGAACTACATCAGGACTGAAGGAGATAAGGAAGAATCAGACATATGAAAAGATGCCAGGAATAACAAAAGACCAGGGATGGCCTCACAGAAACATTCTAGAGAAAGGAAGACTGAACCATGCATACCAATGGACAGGAGGATGTTCAGGAAAAGAGTGGACAGAGTATAACACTGTGAGTTAGCACTGTTGTTGTTTTATCTAGTTAAAGCCCCTCCAGTGGCCATGAAGATGATAGAGTAAATATAAACAGGGCATCGCTGTGAACAGCCAGGTGGGGACAAAGAACCCTCTTAGGCTGAGTGGCTAAATGCATAAATTAGAAGAACACTTGGAAGATGGAAAAATCTACAAAGCATGGCAATTGTCTAAATATAGGATCAGGTGGGCATCCAGGAGGTACTGGAGGTTTCTGAGGGATGTGCGCGAGCCTGGCCACTTGTTTGCATGGACAGAAAACACACAGGGAGGGATGGGTTTGTGTTCAGAGCAGGTGACCATACAGATGGGCACAGAATTGCCCACAGGTTCCACAAGCACAAAAGGCTCTAGGGTGGGAAGCCAGAACCAACAAGCCCTGATGAGGTGTCGTGGACATGGGCTCAAAGAACAAGGCAGATTCCTCCACAGTGCCAGGAATATTCTTTCTG